TCTTGTTGATAAGACTAAAGAGGGAGTTGAGATAAACTTGAATTATGGAGGTCAACTTTAGAGTCTAAAGGTTTTCGCTTGAGAATATCTAAAACTGAATATATTGAGTGTAATTTTAGTAGCAATAGACCTAGTGAGGGGATTGTGACTTTGGGCGATCAAGTCATTAATAACTGTACACATTTTAGATATCTTAGATATGTTGTTAAGAGTGATGGTGAAATTGATGTGGATATTATCAGCAGCATTCAAGTTGGACGGCTGAAGTGGAGGAATGCATCGGGCTTATTATGCGATAGAAAAGTCACCCTCAAACTTAAGGGAAAATTCTATAATATGGTGGTGAGTTCTGCAATGATTTTATGGATGTCGAATGTTAGCCATTAAAAGAGAAGCATAATACTAAGTTAAGTGTTGCAGAGATGAGGATGCTTAGGTGGATGAGTGGCTTGACCCTTAGATTGGTTTGGTCACATTAAACAGAGGCCTTCCAATAACCAGGTTAGAAAAGTTGAGGTACTAGATTTGACTTATGTTAAGAAAGATAAATGTAGACCTAAAAAGACTTGGTTAGAAAATATTAGAAATAATCTTTCTTTATTAGATTTAAATGAGAATTTGACTTTGAACCGAACACAATGGAGAAAAAGGATTCATGTAGCTGACCACACGTAGGGGACAAAGGTTTGATGTTATTGTTGTTTTTTTTTTGCTTCAACATACTTTTAGAGTATCTCTACTTATAATTTTTCTCATCCTCTCTATCCAAACCTCGATAGTGAAATTTCTCTTGGTTAATATAAATATAAAGTTACTGAGTTGTTAAAAAGTTTCACTATGTACAACAATTGTATTCACATTAGAAAAGTTGGTTGAATATTCTCTTATCTCAAAGTGAAGGACAACCAAGTCTATCCTTATGCCCATTTGATCATTAGACTCACCTTCACTTAGTTTTAAGAACTTTTGCATAAAGTTGATGATGCAATTCCTTAAATTAATTTGCTTAGCATCTTTTGATGACTTATCAATTGTCATATGCATGACTTCATTCAATAATATCACTTCATCATTAGCCTTTGGCTCACGAGAATTATCCATCTCTATTTCTATGCTTAACTTCTTTAGTTTGATTATGATTGACTCGTCCAATTTCGACTTCACCTATTTTGCTATTAGGGAGACTATCTATTCCATCGGTCAAAATAAAATTGGCAAAGTGTGTATACGTAGTCAAAATCAGTGCTTAAGAAGCTAAAACATTGATGAATTTTGAGTCATTAATATAATTGACTTTGAAATTTGCTCTCTTACATGAAAAAAGTCAAATGATGTGTTATTAAAAAGGTTTATAATTAAAGCTCTAGGTAAGAATCATATGTCTTGAACTCTTGAGGCACCCACAGTTGCTTAGCTCGTGTGAGAAAGAACCGGCTGGGTAAAGCCTAGGTCCCAGTTCGATCCCCATGGGCGGCAGCGAAAGCCTTAAATATTAGCCCAAACTAATTGGTGTGGGTAGTCTGCTAGGTCGACCGGGATTTATAACTTGCTGGGTGGTGGTTTTCTCGTTCACACAAAAAAAAAAGAAAAAAAATCACCCAAAAAAAAAAAAAAAAAAAAAGCTCTTGAGGCACCTAAACCAAAGGTGGTGTAGAGATAATAATGACAGTGGTTGCAATAATATAAACCAATTCCACAAAGCAAAATTATGAAGCAAATGATTCAAAATTTAAACCTTTCCCAAATATAATGAAACATGTCATGATTATTAACTATTTTTTTGAGATTCATGATATTGATGAAACATTCACATAATTTGTTTAAAGACATCTTAGGGAAAATAATTAAATCATCCTTTTATATTCTCTTAATCATCTTGACTTCTCAAAATAGCTAATAAAATTAGTTGACTGATGTAAATCCATTTTTTTTAAGAGTCAAAGCACTATGACTATTTTGATTAGAATGACCTAAGAAGATTCATATTCAAACCAAGTTGATTAGACTAAGTCTTTATTTGGGAAGGCTTTCTTGTTGCTTATTAAAGCGACTTTTTAGTAAAAAAATAAAAAATTTTATACTAGAACTTCATTTGGAACAATTTTCTTATAATCAAAAGCAGCTCTTTAATATATATATATATATATTTTAAAAGCGGTAAAAAAACAGTGTCCCAAATAAAGCCCAATTCAACAATATAAGTTGAATGACTAAAGCTTTGTTTGGGACGACTTGCTGCTTCTTAAAGAAAATTTTTAGTACAAAAAATAAAATTTTTGCACTAGAAGCAACAAGAAAGCCATCCCAAATGAAGCCTTGGGCTTCGTTTGTGATAACTTTCTTGCTATTTTTTAAAGTAGTTATTTAGTATAAAAATTTTAATTTTTGTACTAAAAAATTGCTTTGAGAAGCAGTAAGAAAACAGTCCTAAACAAAACCTAACCAAACCTAAAATGAACTTCAAAATCTTTAGTATATTCTGATATAACTGTAATATCTTAATAATGATAAAAATTTTGTTCCAACAGTTTGATATAGATGCAGAATCTGCCAATGCACGTTTATGTTTTTGTATATGTACAGAAGAATCAGCTTTTACATTAAGTGCTGGTTAATTTATTACGCTAAGTAAAACGCTTGTACTCCAAAAATGTAATAAACACATAATTGATCAATAATAAAATAATATGGCTATTAAATGAATGGTGAGAGTGTCACCGGAAGCCGTTCTAATACCGACGGAAATCTTTTTACGATAGTAGTTCACTACATGGCGCCAGCAAAGTCGTTAAAAATGGTCTCCAGCGTTGCCTGGCTGATGCTGTAATCTTCTATACCGAGTTTCATTCTAATAGAAACAGAAGTAAAAAAATGTTACAGAAACCGGAAAATAAGGCTTCGTTTGGGATCTTTTTTTTGTAGTTTCTTAAAGCAGCTTTCTAGTATAAAAATTAAAATTTTTATACTAAAAAACTGTTTTAAGAAGCAACAAGAAAGTCGTCCTAAACGAAACCTAAGTCTTGATATACAAGCAATCAAAGTGTGTTTCCTACCTATTATTTTCCAGATGCCCAAATATGTCAGCAAGCGAGGAATGCTCTCCATAAGGTAACTGAAAGTTTTGAACAAAATGAAAAAAGAAGACTGCTGGTTAGTACATCAAAGGATGAATACTCAAATAAATGTAATCGGGAAATATCAAATGGCAGTTCAGATATTCAAAAACTACATAGAAATTTAAAAAATCCATAAAATATCAGCTAAAATACAGAGAAATGCATACATCATAAAATTTTTAATTCCAAAGTAAAAAAAAAAAAAAAAACTCAAATCAAGATTGTTCACACTTGTTTATAAAAAATTTAATACTTGAGATTTAGGCTTCGTTTGGGACGGCTTTTTTATTGCTTTATAAAACGGAGTTTTAATACAAAAATAAAAAAATTTGTACTAAAACTCCATTTTAGAAAGCTATAAAAAAGCCGTCCCAAACGAAGCCTTAGGCTTCGTTTGGGACGGTTTTCTTAAAAACAGCTTTCTAGTATAAAAATTAAAATTTTTTACTAAAAAATTGCTTTAAGCAGCAGTAAAAAAGCCATCCCAAACGAAGCCTTAAATTTTAAAATAATATTCCTCAAGTTGTATAAAAAGTCAATTTGAAAAAAAGAGATCTATTAAATGTTATCAGGATAAGGCTTTTAGAGAATACATAGTGCCTGCGAAATAAGAGAAATATATGATTGGGGGCATTATACTTAATTTTCACAGTAAAATGTGATCTTTACAGCAAACACATCACACTTAGGAAGCGACAATACCTCTTCTTTTAAGGAAAAAATATTGTATAAAAGATTATAAGATGATTCTAACGAAAACTTAACCACAGAAGTAGGTCTTATGTTTGGATGTCTTAGAAGTACTAAAAAAAATCATAAAAAATAATTAGCCTAGAATAAGATGATAGAACCTAAAAGGTGAAATTTTTTTTACTTTATTTATGATGGTTCGTTTAGTGAGACAATTAGAATATATTTTACAGTTGAAGCCTATTTGAATTAGGATAAGATGTGGCTGGTTTTGTGGCTATGTTCAGAAGATTATCATGAAAGTTTTTGGAAATACCCGCATACAAATTGCACATGCGTACACTTGAGAGGTTGATGAAAGACGTAGAAGAGATCATTAAGTACAGGAGATGTACTTTTAAATAGAAGCATAAACAAATAATACCTATACTTAACAGCAATTATAAATAAGTTGGTCTTACCAAAAAATATATTAAGCAAAGTAGAAGCAACAACTTTCAATGATTTATATAATGGAGAACAAAAGATGCGCCTAAAAGATGGTACATAAATTAATATAGGAAATCATAAAAAAAAAATAGAGACTAAAAATAATATAAATAAAAAGTTAGGCAAAAATATTTTCCCAAATTAACATTTCAAACAACTCATTGGGAAAATGATGAAAATAAATTTAGAAAACTGATGATGCTAATGATAATGATCAAGAAGAAGATGGACATAAAATATATAAAAATATATAAAATTCTAACGAAGAAAAAAAAAATCACGCTAACCACTTTGTAAGATTGGGCCTAAATATAATTTGGTATTGTAAAATTACAAAATAATAAAACAAAAAACGTAGAAGTAAGACTATCACTATGAGATTCCATACAAAATTACAGTTTAAGACAAAAATGCGCACAAATCAGTTTAAGACAAAATTACCTGATATTTGACACTCAATCCATTGCACCCATGAAATTTAGCTCCAGGGAATGATGCATGAATGAAAGAATCAATTCGTGTGAACTTTTGTTTGGCCAGCCACCACTCGCAAAAAATTCTCAAAGGTATACTACCTATTCACATAATTCCAACGAGAAAACAAGAAATGTAAGATCAAAGACTAAAAAGCTGGTATAAACATATAGCAACGAAAGATGTTATAGTGGTTGACGGAAATTGAGGTATATGGCTACACGAAGAGCTGATATAAACAAAATGTATAAAATTATTAAACTTTGCAAAGTTCATAATATTTCAAAAAATGATCAATATCAAATTAATAAAGTATAAAAAGAAGATAATTAATACTGAAAGCTCATTTAGTTGCATAAATATAATATATAAAATGTTCGAATTAAGTTTCCCTGCCTCTCACTCCACCCTTGCACACTCATACTCCCTTCTTATTCTAGCTAATATGTCCGTTGGTGACTTTGATGGCATTTCGACTCCACCTTCCTTGGTGGAGTCAGACTTTCATATTGCTATATTGGGCTTTTTCACTCCATTTGTCAGCACAGCAGTGGAGTCGAGGCTCAAATTCGGGCTTCATCTTTACTAACACCGCTTCAGTTGTCTTTTGATTGTTATGCTGTTATCCATCATCCACTTGCTCCTCCATCTCGAATAACACCGGATAATGGTGTTTCACCTACCATCACAACTTGCACTCTTTCTGATGAGGACATCCACCGTATATTTCAACATCGGCAAGATCATAGATCGATGGCCACGATTCATGGTCTTTATTTATGATGTTTTGGTGCATTTCTTTTATTTTTTTTAGTTTTCCATTGGTACCCCTATGAGGGATTTGTGTCATGTTGTAGCTAGAGGGCATTTGTGTCTTTTACATTTTGTGCTTTGGAGGCCTATATATGAAGGCCTAGTCTTTGTACCCTAGGTGGGTGAATGCAATACCCGTCAACCTTGGGAGGATTTCAAGGTTCGCGGTTCCACGATCTCTTTGTGAGTTCTTGAGAGGTGAGGAAGCCTAGGAGAGGCTCTTGAAGAGCCCAACAGCCCTCTTGGAGAACTCTTGGTTTGTTTATTTCATTTCATCTTGTCTTCTTCCCCTTATTCCATACCCCACCGCCGGTTTCTTTCTTTGATTCTCTAGCCGCCCACCGCTCCACTGACCCACACCGCCATCACCTTCCCCACCCCACAGCCGCCAAACCACCTGCAGCCCTTCCCCAGAAAACCCTGCCGCCCAAGCCCCCTCCCCATCACCATGCCACCGGCCCATCCCCTTCATGGGATTCCCAAGATTGCCATTGAATGTTCTTGAGTAGTTTCCTAATTTAGGTGGGTCTAATTTGGAGAGAATTTGAATTCAAATTCAAATTATATATAAGTCTAAACCTTCCTTAAATTCCCTACCTCAATTAGGCAACTCATCAATTCTATTAAATCTGAATTAAAATTCAGATTTATTCTCTCTACACATCTAGAAGCTTGGCCCCACCAATTAATTAACAAAATTGCTCTCTTAACTCTCCCTTAAGGATCCTCCCCCTCTTTCCCTCCAATTCTAATTAATTGGTATCCAATCACGGAACCAATTAATTAAGACCCTCAATCAATTTCCCTCCTAATCCTCCTACATTTCAATTTCAAACTTGAAATTCCCTAATACCCTCTCAAGCAAAATCTGAGAGAAATTTCAGAATTTTGTTCCTTCTCTCCCAACATCCACCGCCCCCTTCTTCCCCTCCTAACCCATCAAATCCTTCCAACAGCCTTCCCAATTCCCCTTCCCAAACCTATCCCACCTCCAGCCGCCATCCCCAAGCATTATCCCACAATTTCTCCATATTCTCCTGAGATTATTGCTGCCAGTTTTGGTTTCCAGCAGAAGGATCCTGCTGTTCTATACCTCAGAAGTCCATCAGCTAGGGTGCCAAGCACCCAAGACCACACAGAAGCTGTCCAACTTGTTTCCCAACAGTACAGGTTGCTGTCCGGGTAAAATCTACACCTGTTTCTTGCTGTCCAGCCTATTGGAAGGTCTTCAAACGCTGCCCAGACGTTTCAAATTGCTGACCACGACTTCAAGAATGTTCTTGGATGCCGCCTACTTCTTTCCAAGCCCTCCA